TATCTATTAGGATAGATGGTGAGGTAAGTGTTTGCTTGGGCAAGGAAAAACTCAAAGAATAAGCCATGAAATATCCAACTTTATGTGGAAAATCCTTGCCAACTCACAACATTGACCAAGCACAAGCAGGAGATTGCCATATAGCACTACTCCATCCAGAAGTCAATGAGCTGAAAACAACTACCAAGATACCATTGCCTCATAGGTAAAATAAGGAAAGAATGAAGCCCCTCATAAAAACACAGCACACTGACATGGAGCTAGGAAAACACCCAACACAAAAGGTATGGGATGACACAAAAAGTAAGGGATGACAGAAATTGGTAATATCTCTGAACGTCAATGGCCTAAATTCGCCCATGAAAGGACAAAGGTTCGCAGGCTGACTCAGGAAACACAACCCATCAATCTGTTGCCTGTAAGAGACACATCTTAAGCTCGCAGACAAAAATAGACTAAGAATAAAAGGCTAGCAGAATATATACCAGGCAAACAGCAACTTAAAAAAAAGCAGGGCTTGCAATCTTTATCCCTGACAAAATGGACCTCAAAGTGTAAACCATCAATGAAGGAATCAGGACAAATCAAGAACCTTTGTGCAGGGAATAGGCTAACTGTAAGAGGGAAGGACACACACACATACACATACACGAAGCTGAAATCAACATATAGGGTATACTAAGGATAAAACACCTCTGTGTGTCGAAAGACTTCACCAAGAGACTAACAAGAAAACCTACAGTCTGGGAAAGAATTTTTAGCAACGACACAACAGACAAATGGCTTCTTACTAAAATCTACAATATCCTCCTATCATACAAAGGAAAACAATTTACCCCTTGAGAAAGTGGGCAAAAGAGCTGAATATTAGTTTCTTGGGGGCGGGGTGGGAGAGGGGACCTGAATGGCTCATAAACATATGAGAAAATGCTCTCGTTCATTAGCCATTAAAGAAATACAAATTAAACTGACTATGAGATACCCCTAATACCCTTGAGGATAGCCCAATCAGAAAATCAGAGAGTAACAAATGTTGGATGGGATGTGGCAGGTAGGACACTCCTCCAATGCTGGTGGTTGTGTACATATGTACAGCCATTGTGGAAACCACATGGCGATATTTAAAACAAATGGAAATTGAGTTACCTTACGGCCCAGCAATCCTTCTACCGGGTGTGTGTGTATATATATATATACACTTCAACCAACAGGAAAGACAGTATATATATATATATATATATATATATACACTTCAACCAACAGGAAAGACAGTATATATATATATATATATATATATATATATATATATATATAC